CACTCCAGGATGCAAATTCCAATGTGACGTTTTTCACGCTAAGCACGATTACAATAGGTACGCTAATGGCTGTTTCTTGCTGCACACATCATCATCGTTCAATTAGGCTCAAACACATGTGTGGCTTCCAACACGTGCTAGTGAATTAGCCAGCATTCAACTGACCATTAGGCATGAGCATGAATCCTCAACAGGAAGAAGGTTGTGCAAGTTTGCAAAGAATATTTACAATATGCTCACATTCTGAGTGAATCACAATCATCATCAGCTAAGATACGACGCAAGGATGCCTGTGTGGAGCTTCGTTCCCGATGGAGGGGGTGATTCTCACCATTCGAGATTTCGTCTATTTGCGTTTATGAGAAAAATGCATTGCCGTACTTTGTACTTCAACGGCTCTTCAATGGCATTCGCTAGCGTCAAAAGAAGAAATCACGATAAGAACGAAGGTCAAAGAGGGGAAAAATTGCATAGTTGGGAGACAGGCGGACCTCCTGAGGGTGCTGACCGACGCGCAATTGGCAGCGAAAGATTTGACCTCGGCGATCTAGCATGGCTCACTCTTGGCGCGGTTGGCGGGGTACGCCCACCGACTATCTAATCACTCGCCGCAGGTCTATACGTGGCTTTTTGTCTGAGCTTATCTCTGGACTGGTTGTTTCTGAGACATTGTCTAGAATATGCCGGCTCATATCAAAATACACAACTTTTCGATCATTTTCGTGAAAATAAACTCATAGTTTTGAACGACGTTATAAAACTATGTACTTATTGCCGCTATTTACCAACGTTTTCACAAAGATCCCTGCGCCATATTACAGAATGGCATGGCATTTCAATACGTGGCGAGTGATTAGATAGCAGAGAGAGAGCGTAGTGTTGAAGAGGGCACAGCGATGAGAGTCGCATCAATGCGCAAATCAACGGGCAAGGAAGGGGTCCCATTTCTCGGGTTCTGGGCCGTTTCTCATGGTTTTTCTTCTTTCCTGCTCCACTGACCACCTCTACCCTTATTTCCAATGAGCTAACTTTTCATCGTATATTCTGCCTTGAGTCAGATAAAAAGATAAAGGATAAATTATCAAAAGTATAAAATTGGGGAAAGTTAAATTGTGAACCAACAATAGAAAACAATAAGCAACATATTTCGCAGTATTAATGAGCAAAAAGGACTTTCTGAGATATTGATTTTCCATAGTAATCGGCCCCAAAACTTCCTGAACTCAGAAAAGCGACACTAAGATATCCGGTACCTAATAGCTCCCCCAAAAAATTACTGGCGTGAGACCAAAATAACGAGGGCAGATTGTTGTGTTTGTATTGGTAAAGAATTCAAGGGACTACCCCATAACTGTAAAAAGCGATGGAGAGAGTTTTCATGGGGTAGACACTCAGAAATGTTTTGAATTTACTCACCTACGGCAGTAATAATTCACTCTTTTGTCACATCTTAAGGTCAGTGTCAGACTTGCATACCAGTACATCGCTGCAATTTTTGGTGCGTCGTTCAAACGTCGATGGATTTGCAGTCGGCCATTGGCCTAACGATAAGGTGTTGGCATTGCCTCTCTACTTCTGATTCAATTCTGTTCTAGGAAGAAGTTGCATTCGAAGCTCAAACTCAAGTCTTTCTCTGGACGAATTCCCTAGTACATAGCCGCCCTAACACATACCCCAATTCGGTGTCCCTTAGCTCAGATTTCTTAGATCAGCTGTCTGTGTATTGTCCAAATTAAGTTTTAGAGCTAATTCCCTTTAAATATGAATTTCATGTATGGCCTTATTAAACTGCAATCAGGTGATTCAACATATTATCATCAACTAACTAGCCGGAATCCTTGTGCACGATTCCAGTGTTTGCTGGCTAGCATTTTGCAAACAAAAGAGTTGATCATCAAGAGAATCACAATACGTAAATGCCCTCACAGTTGTTGGTGGGAGGTATAAGAAAAACTGAGACTTCTGGAGTGAACCGTGTTTAGAAATTTTGAACACAAGTGTGAAATCAAAAGCAGTTACGGTAGTAAAGCGCCCCAGACTGACAATCAAATGTGGTGATTTTCACCCATTGAGAGGAACAAGGCACTGAAACGTGGACTAGACCCTCCTTGTTAAAACTGCCACACTATCCTGCACTATCTGCAAAACTTGCGCCACTCTCGGACTTGAACCCTGGATGACAGGACTCAAAGCCGGGTTTTTGCCAGTGCACCAGGGATCACTCGATCACAGCATCGGAAGAGGTCTTGACAACAGGTAAGCAACGGATGTTGTTTGCAAATCTTAGACTCAAGCGGTGTAGATCCAGCAACCTTGCCAGCGGCAGCGTGGAACGTTCCTATTGAGCCATTGGTAATTTGCCATACAGGAAGTGGTGAGCCCCATGTTGCCTGCAACCTTGCGTCACATACGGTTCTCTTCTTATGAAAGCGATGAAAGGGTTGCAGAGAAAAGGGAATAGCCTACGAAGGTTGCAAACCTTTAGACTTATCGTAGTATTGATCCCGCGACTGATCCAACACCAACGTAGACCGCAGGCGCTACACCACTGACGAATCAATGCAAGGTGCCTTCCTTTCCCTTTCCAACACCGTGCTTTGACCCACGCACCTGGCAGTTTGAAGTTGGCCAACTCCAAAAAGTCCTCCGAAGGACTTTTTGCTGCGCGTAACGGGCGTCACCTGCGTCTCTCCAAACATTGTATTTCGCCCCTCCGCGTCCCGTTTTCTGTCAGCGAGCCCTTCCTGCGCGTTTTACGGCTGCGCGTAACAAGGAACCACCCTGCCAGGGAGCTGCAGCTCACCTGGGAAGCTTTCTTCAGAGTTTCATAAATAGGTCTCCTAGGTGCCATAGAAGCGATTTCCACCATCATCGGAAAAACTTGCACCTCCACGTGACGTGCTCATTAAACTGCCCGTTAACGTGCAAGTTTGGCTAGTTTACTATCGTCCCAGATATTTCCCGCGCAATACTAGTAGCGATGCTGGTCGATGCTGGAAGAATTGCGGAGAGAAATTTTCTTCACCATTTTACCCTAATTACATTTTGTACAAATTTCTGGTCAGGTAATCATAAATTCCAGCATTCTTGTCGGCATTCTTTATACTTGGACTGAGTATTTCGTCAGTAATTATTATGACACTAGCTTCTGCGGCTATCGTAATGGTATACCGTAGCGACGTCGCCTTACTAAAAGATCTTACTAACAAAACCGGAGCGTCAACGGTTACCTATACACTCAGTCTCAAGTTTCAACTCGAAGAAAATGTTCGAGTGACTAAGGTTTGTCGAAAAATTTCTCTATGTTGGAAGGTGTGGGCTGAAAGAATAATCATTCCTCTACATGCTTGAAACCATACTGTGCCTGATTGTTTCAGTCCACATCTTGCATCACGTGGTAGCCTTCTGTTTCGATTCGAAGGCCGCGAGGGGGGAACTCGAGCGTATGACATTTCTGAGCATGGACCCCTGCAGGGACGAGACCCAAGAATAATTAACCTTAAGAGCTTGCCGTTGACCTACGAAAACGTGACAAGCTAAGTGCATCTGCTAACCAACTCCTACTATCACTACTCCTCTGGCTTTGAGATAACTGACTGATAGATTAGAGAAACGATACTCAACGACTGCCTCGCAACACAACGACTCGATAGATATCAATTATTTATGCACTAAAGATAAAACTTCACACTATCTTAAGGTTACAATGAATACTAGTAAGTGAAGTAAAAGAAAGTAAAAGAAGGAGCTCACGTTGTCTCTCATGGACAGTTGTGAGGGCTAAGAATCCCGCGAGGCCGCAGTACCCAAGACGTTGGAGGTACTCTCTAGTTTGGGAGACGAAAAGAGCGATAAGTGCAGGTCACACACCACAATTGCGACAGCAGAGAAAAGCAGTTTTTTCTTAGCCATCTTTACTTGTGGTGTGCGGTCTGCATTCCACGCTCTTCTCTTCTGCAGAAATTGAATATCCTGGGTCGGTCTGTGATTTTGCTGTAAATAGCAGCTCAGTGCGTTGCCGCTCGATCACGAAGTACATAGTTAGAAGTCGTTATGGCGACTAGCCCACGGGTACCGGCGTATCTTGGATTTCCTCGGAGAGCGATCATCGTGTTCGCGACACATTTCGATGACCATGTGCCAGGGTGCCGAAGCGGGAAAGCGACAGGTGAAGACAGGGCATAGAGGGAAGCAATTCACGATCACCGCAGCAGTGGGCATGCGTGGTTGTTCAATGTATCCATAGTGGCATGACTCAGCTCATTGTGGCCTTACCATGCGTTGAAAGTGGTCATATGTATCGGTTGCGGCTCCAGCAGCATTGCTAGCAGAAGAGTGATCCGATATTAGGAATGTGCCCTTAATGTTACCGAAATGAAGGTCACGAAATTTGAAAGAGAAAATTTGGGTAGGCACTAGCCCCAAAGTTACCAAGAATGCATAGAGACGGTCTCGATGCGCGGTCGCACCCTCCAGCAAGATAAGCCACAAGCCCATCGCGGCTATCGTTTCGGCTGCAAAAATGGCACGACGAGTAGTTCCACCTTCACCTGTCGTCCCGTTGATCATCGAATTGCTCGAGCGGGCGCCAGCAACGTCTCCATTCGTCCCTGTCGCGTGCTAGGGTGGTCCAGTGGATCCTCCTTGAGGGACACGAGTCCTTCATTCCTTTCGTTCAGAGCTTTCGTGAAGAAGTCTGACCATCGGGCCGGCGGTCGTCCAGGTGTTCGTTTGATGTCCTGAGTACCCTGTCCCGGTACCTCAGAAAGAAGTACCTCAGAAACTCCAGGTAGGGGTGATGTGATTATTATAATAAGGGAAAGGAGAGGAGACGTAATTCCGATATCAGCGGTGGCTGCCCGCATCCATAGCAAGCTTGCACACAATGTTCTGCTTTAGACTTGCCAGAACTTTTTGATCCCCAACTTTTTTCTTTCTAATCATTGAAACTTATCAGGAAAAATCATTATCTATTTTTGATTCAGCTATTATTGTACCTATCCGTTGGTTATTCCTTGTGGGGATCATTCGGATGTTTCCTCTTCGTCTCAGCGTTTGTACTGTTCGACACTACACATCTGCTTGCACAATTATCCTACGCCTTATTTAACAACTATATTGCGCTGTGAGTTCTGTTTTACACTCCTTTTTACAAATGTTCGAATTTGGATGCGTTGTGCATTCAACTTTTAGCAACGACGCTTCATTTGGAGATGGGGGTATCACGGCTAGAACAATGAATGATGTTCTCTTCAGTTTACTGTTCTGGGAAGGCAACGATCACGATAGGATTTAGATGGGCATATCGGGGACGTGGGGTGCTCATTGGTACGCCGATGGCAAAAAAAGCAGAGAAATCTGTGAAGAAGACGAAATAGGCGGGACACCACTGTTAGGCTGTTGTTTTGCTGATGTTTCCGCTCATGGATAGGCGGCAGCTAAGAAAGCGGACGTATGAACGAGTTCACCGCAACGCGTTTGGTGGCACCATGCCAATCCATGCTCCAGTCGAGTTGCTCCAGTTGTGCCGCTGCTGGCAACGCAGCTCGTCCAAATCACCAACTAAACTAGTGGGCGGATCGCTTTGGGGCGGAGCGCTTTCGAAGTCCTGCTCAGCAACCAGCGCACCTTTCGTTGTCAAAGTGCTACATCTCGCTTTCCTGGCAGCCAAACCACTGCTTTATGTGCCGCATATATTCCACCGATGTGCAAACTTCTCCCTCTTTATCGTAATCGCTCGCTTTAAATGGGGAACATTCACGATTAGGTACGATCACATTATCACAAATGACTTGAATCGCAGACTTCTGCATATTACCTCTCCACCTGCACTTCTCATATAAAACCGAAAATTGAAAAAAAAGAAACAGAACAACTTTAGATGCGGAGTTGACCTAGAAAAAGAAATACTGTGATAAAGAGTCCGTGTTAAGTCACTCCGTTGCGATGAGTAGTGTATGGTTAACCTATCAATCTATCATCCTAACTTTATCCTATCACGTACATATGTATCAGGAAGCACTTTCAAACGTATCCATTCATTGCTAGATAATGGGTTATGGGGTTTGGTGCCACGTAGCCATAGGGCTTGACACTTGCGTTTGCGATGCGGTAACTCGACTTGCGATTGCATTAACGACTTGTGCGCTTGATTCCACGCATCGGCTCTGGACCACTATGGTCAGAAGCTCCATACTGGTCCGGAGCCGAAGTGAAAGAAACGTACAAAGAACCCATAGAACCCATGTACGAGCCCCATCAGCCGCGGTGTACGAGCTTGAGGCGAGGTTGGAATATTCGTCAGAATAGGGTTGCGCCGGAACCCCATACCGATTCCGTGACTAAAGAACCCGAAGTGCCCAAGCTCTTGGTGGGACGGCGCTCTCCTTGAGCAACAGGAACGCCCTAGTAAGGCTATCCTGTGGGACGAAAATACTACGACCACTTCTTATAATAGATGCCGTAACGAAATTAAGTTACAGTGTCGATCTGTGCCCGTGAACGTTACAGCTCTGTTCGTGTTTGTTCAAATGGTGAACCCTCTAGACTTGGATTAAGCCTTAAACATTTAACGATTCAGCAGGGAATGTGACATCTTGTTCGGCATTCGTGGAACGTTACACTCTGTACGTGTTTGCTGAAGCTAGGCGACACTATGAAGCCAACGCCCCCTGAGGTTGAGTTGGCTTCTCGAGCTCCCAAAACACTGTTGTTTCACCAGTTCACGTGCACGAGAGCGGCTCCATCCTTTTTGTCTCACTCAGACTAATGACGTGGTACTTGATCCGTTGAATTTCATCGATAAGTGCTGAAAAAAGCCGAGCAGCCGAACTGATGCCTCCGCAGTTGTACGTACATGCGATTAGTTGGCTCACTCTTGTCTGTCTCCTTTGGTAGCCTATGGCCCTGACATTTCTTCGCCTTTAGCTGTGTGCTAGTTCAGCGCAACCTGACTGGGCAATGATAGTCTGCAGGGGACTAAGGCGAGCCA